CTCAACAAGGCGTTCTTGAAATTTACAATGGTGAAAGTAAATGGGTTTAAAGGGCATATGCATTACAACTCCTCAGCTTCCCTCCATCTCCAACGGTTTGCAATTGTACTAATTGCACCTATTATTCATGCAGGCAGCATGGTTCTTGTGGAGTGTTGTGTTGGAGCACAAAAGACAGCACTAGGCAGTAAGAAAGAAAGTGAGGGGGGCAGGGGTGGAGAACAACTCCATAGATGGCAAGCAGGGAAGGACCAAAAATAAAAAAGACAGAAGGACAAATAGGGACGAATCCGAAATAAACTGAATACATTTAGACTAGGGGTCTCCAAATCCGGTCCTCCTGAGCCCCTATCCGGCCTGTTTTATGTTACTTTATTCCAACACACCCAATTGAAATGATCAACTCATCAGCAAGCTTTGTGCAAGACTGAAGGCGGATGTTTTTGCAGATGTTTCTCATGGCTGTTAAGATCTGTGATATAAATCTCGAAACGGATTGATTATTAATTTCCAATGAGATCTGAAATAAAGGAAATAAATGGGTTGAATGTACTTTTAAAGTACTCTATCAAGAAAGTTGAGTTGGGTTTCAACAGGTTCGAGTGTTCAAAGCTTTCAGTGCTGTTCACCAACAAGGAGCTGAAGTTCACATTTGCTGGTTCAATTAAAATTGGTATTGAAGCATCCTCTTCATCATGCTGCGCTTATTTTGACGACCTGAAGCCATGACGATACCCGACAACTGATCAAGAGTACCTTGCCATTGCGAGGCTTCAAATAAGATGTTCTCAGTGGGTGATACCGTAAGTGGCCACTGAGCCAAGTGTCATCACTAGGTTGCAACGGAGAAACCACTGAAAGGCATCTTTGAAAATTGCCATTCAGCTCCTTATTAGACATATTTCAGGACAGATTCGGGTGACCTAATCCACAACTTGAAACAACCCAGGCACCCACCTGCAGGCTTTTCAAGGCGAGTGCATCCACAGCGCACCTTGGAGATGTGTGGGTTGTGTTGTATAGTCAGAGCTAGCTAGCTGATGCTGCTCTGTAGGTGCCAAGTAAATCCTTTTCCAGGTTTCTACAAGACAGACAGATACGGTGTTGGACAACCAATCCTCATAATGTCCCGTTTTGTTTGAAAAGTCCATCTTGAAAATTATTTTTTTAATAATGCCCGACATTTTTCCTTCTTGTGGTCACCAATACATCGCAAGACTTGATAGCATTGCTAATAGCGTGCATGTGCTAACAGTTGGGATTGTGAAGGCTCTGGGCAGATTACACTGACATGTTCTCTCACAGAAGCCCAAATCTGATTGAACAAAAAAAATTGGAACATACACATGACTGGAAGATGAGCAGCCAGGACACGCTATAAAATAAATAGATTAGAGTGCCGGAAAATCATCATATAGGCCAGTGCTTCCGATAGCGCAGGCCTTGACTGCACGCAACAGACAGGTTGTGCAAAATGTACTGAAACACACAACTGCACATTGGAATTCAAAAGTTTACAAAAGGTCAATTCAACATTACCTGTAAAAGTGATGGTGCATCTTAAGTTTTTCTTGAAATGCCCAACTTTTTGTGAGTGGCGTATATAGCTCACAGAGCAGCGGGTGTGTTTTTGGATGACATGAAAGACCACAGCTCTCAATTGTGTTGAACTTTTGATTTTATTTGGCGGTTTGTTAACTGCAATATTTGCGTTGTAAAAGTACATTGGCAGCTAACAAAGCCTCAAGCCATTCGTGAAAGATGCAACAAGTCCTGCAAACCTCAACTTGAAGGTTCTCTCCTACAAAAATCTATCAAACTCTTTCAAGTTGGAAAATCAACTTTGCTGGATGATCTATTTCAGTCTCCCCAAAGACGTCCGATTGGTTTTAGGGCTCTCGTGTTGTCTTGGCTGTGTACTTGGGGTCAACCATCTGCCACGTCTGCATTTCTAAGCACCCTTGACACGGTTTTCATTTCAGAATTATTATCCCGCCATGTTCATCGCTGTCATAAGTGTTGAGGCCCTTCATTTAAAGTGCTTTGCAGGATTTCACAAGTCTTTGCTTTCTGCCCTACAACCAACATTTGTGGAGGATTACGGCACGTCTTCCTCTTATATAATGAAGTCAGCGCCGTGACAATGGGGGCGGGTATGCGAAGAAACAGAGCAGAATTAAGGAGCAAATGAAGGAGAGCCGGGCAGACAGGCGAAACCTTTCTGCAAGCCTTCAATGCTAAGCGACCCAGATGGCCAGTGTGTCATGTCGGATGCCAATTTGATCTCAACGTTGAGATCTATACAACATCTCAACCGCCCACTTGGTGACCCGCCACTGTGCGTATGAGTGTGCGTGAGCGTGTGTGTGTAAAGGCCCACTAATTTGTATGTTGCACACGCACTTTTGAATTAGCAATTGCACTGACATGCTCTGAGTTAACATCTATGCATAACCCCTTCAGTAGAAAATGGCATTTTAACCATTCTCAAACTCGTGGCAGATAAATTGTTAGAAAGGCCTGCAAATAGTGCAAACTTTTTAAATCAATCCCCTCCAAACTATGAGCGTGTGTGGTCGTGCACTTCCATGTCCCCACTTCAAGGCCTTCAAGGCTCCAATAGAGCTCCCAGCTGGAAAAGCGTCGAAGGGAAAATCGTCTTGTCTCCTTTCAAGGCTGCTCCTCAGCTGTGCCATTTTCAATCAATAGCTTTTAGGGAATCGGCATCTTCCCTGCAGCTTGGAATGAAAAGACTCTTTTGTTGGAAATTCCATAGTGTACGGAATAATCTAACACTGAAGACGCGTGCGCATTTTGAAATGCTGCAAATGACATCATATGTTCATGTTCACATCAAGCTGAATGGCTTTTAGGGGTAAACGCTGCATTCTTGGCAAAGGAAGTAAGGTGCTGTCTACCTATGTTCTGTTGCAAGGGGAACTCTTTTTTGCACTGATGTTGTTTGTGACACACAAAGTTGCATGTGAGTCTCATTTCCCCTCTGGCCCCAGGTGTTTACTGGGACCGTTAATTTCCATCTGCATATATGCATACTGCCTCCTACTCGTCCCCTTCCTCTTTTCCTCTCAGTGAATGATATGCTTGTGCCTGGAGGATCTTCACAACAACACACCGATGACTTTGATGTGACCACAGCAAAGATGAAGAAGAACTGAAATAATGCACAAAACATTATGTTCCCTCCTCTCTCCTTATAGTATACATGAGTAAGAGAAGTAATGTTTGCCACTTGATGAACCCATTGTGTTCGTGCAAATGCCGTTTATGTACATTTAATCAACATTAGCTTTATTTAACTTGGAATCAACAAACAAATGAAATGCTCATGGGAAATGAAAGCACTTGTTGGTATTGTCTTAAACGTTTACGTTTTATAGTTGATTCATGTTCATGTTTATTAAAAAAAAGAACAATTTATAACAATTCATTACGTGATGAACAGTAGAATACAAACAGATCACTTTCCCTATTAACTGACTCGACGGAGTAGTTTAAAGACACTGGACGCTATCTTGAATGAGAAGGAAAACAGTTGAATGCAGCCTGTATTTTAAAGTCACCGTCATTATATTCTTTCTAACATTGCCATCTGTTGGTGTGAGAAAGTAACCAACAGATGGCAATGGTGTTATGTGGAACCAAGGGTGCAAAATATAGAACCTCTGACGAATTATTATTATTATTTTTTTTTTTTTATTAAACTACATTCATATTATTTGGATACCGCCAGACCATTAATCAGATACTAATTGTGATCAATAACATTAAGTTAGAAAGACTATATGAAAATTATTTTAGGACTGTTATTATTGACAATAAATTATGTTGGAAGCTGCATGTAAATCATCCAAACCGAAATTATCCAAAGCCTTAAGAATAGCACATAAAGTAAAAGACATTTTTAACCAGAATTCTTCAGTTGTTTCTTAGTCGCATAGATGAGTTATTATGTGCAGGTCTGGGACACACTTAAATCAATAACAATTGCTGTTCTTATCCTACAAAAGATGGCAATCAGGATAACAAACTTTGCAGATTGTCGTGCACCCAGCATTAATCTATTTCTTAAATCACATACTGTATGCTAAAATTCTACGATCTAGTGGACTTTAAAACTGGCCAATTCATGTTCAAATTAAATGATAATATGCGTCCTTATTGTGTTCAGCTCTTTCTGCACAGTGAACTGAGAGGAGCATCAATGTTTAGAAAAACGAAAACCAGAACTAATGTTAAATAGAGATGTAGTGCCTCTCTGTAAAAGTGGCAGCCTGTGCAATAACCTTCCTTGACTGTGAATTGAAAAGGTGCAAGTCGATTAAATTTGTGAAATACGCGTACAAAAACGTGTTAATAAATAGTTATTTTAGTCCAGTAAAATAACCACAGCGAAATGATGGACAAAAATTATGTGCCTATAAAGATACGATTGTGGAAATACGTGTATGCATCTACAAAATGTTTACAGAGAAAGAATTGTCGATATTATATATGAATTAAAAGTGTACATATATGAATGTAAAGTGTTTTATTTTGATTGCTGATATGATTTGCCCAAATAAACAAACAAATACACAGGTGGACTTTTTGTGGGGAAGGCAATTGGAATACAGGTGCGTGTGTAAACTACCCTTTAAACTTTAAAGGGTAGTTTGCATTGGTGCATTGGTTTAAAGTTTAAACCAATGCATTTTTCTGATGTTTCGTCAGTAAAAATAACATAAAATAAAAAGTAGCACATGAAGCTTCCGAATTGTTGCAACCGATGAATTTACGCTGCGAGCTGTGAATATAAAGAAATAATGTTTCATCACAGCCAGTCGATGCAGAGTTTACCTCGTTTGGAGAGTATTCATTTTAGTTGTCCTAATTTCATAAATAAATAAATAGGATTAAATTTGTCTCGTTGTGTTGCTGCATTGTTTGGCCCAATACTTTCGCATTTTATAACCCATTTGCAGATAATCGCCGCTAGAGGGACCAACATCACATCTTTTTCGCGTAATAAAGTTGTGCGTGAAGTGCGCATAAGTTTAAGTGTGAAGTTAACAAGAACGACTCCCAAAAACCCTGACAAATGTGTCTCTTCAGAATAACAGTGCACTAAGGCTGTTAAATTGGTTCGCCGTTGTTTCTTAAGAGCGAGACATTGTTATACTAGAAACAACAGCGAGGTTAAAAACGTGATCACTGTAGCGTGATCCTCGCTTGGACAAATTTGTCCAAATATCGGAATGGTTTGAGAATTGACAGACAGATTCCTCTTATTGTGAAGTTCAACCGGATTTAGTACCAGTCACTCCAGTTGTTTTACAGTAGTTGGACCGGTGGCAGCTGTCCGATGTCCCGGAGTGTTCCCTGGCCTCGGGGCGATGTGACCGTGAGGCCACCACTGTGTCCGGACTGCCGCGTCCAGGTCAGGATGGACCTGAAGAGAGCCGAACATGGTCACAACATGAACACGCTGTACGGGGAATTCACGGCCACCGGTAACCAAAAGGTCAGGTGCGCCGTGAGCCTGACTGACAGGGAGCTCGTCGTCCAGCGGCTCACCTCGATACCTGCGGGCCGGAACCGAGTGGTCCTCAGCCTGAAGGACTGCGTCGGATGCCGGGCGTACCGGGAAGATGACAACGCGGACTCGGCGGCTTACCTGTCCGCCTATTTTTACCCGTTTAAGCGGCGTTGGGTAGGCTCCGGGTTCTCGAGGCAGAGAGTGGAACAGTGCTTCCGTCTCGCCGCGCTCCAGGACCCGCGAGCCAACCTCGACGAGGCAGAGAAGTGGGCTCGCGCCGTCCGGGAGCGCTCGAACCGGTGTCAGCACCATCGAGACGGTAAGAGAGGCTGTCTTTGCTCACCCTTTTTTCCATTACTTTAAACGGGTCAGAACTTAAATGAACTGTGAGGATTTTATTGTTTGTTGTCAGTAACACGGGCCAATTAAAATAGTTAACATGTTTTCCATTTTTTTGTGGCTGCTGCGTCATACTGACCACTAGTGTCACATTCTGAGATAATATTCGGAACCGGCACTAATTTAGTCTTTAATTGGAACAACGCATGGCAGCTCTGTGGCATTGTGGATATTAGCACATCTGCATTACAGTCAAGGGGTAATGCAGTAACATCTTGAGCCAGGTCCACTGGTTGCTTGCATTCTCCTGGTACAGTGAACCACTGTTTATTACAGGTTATACTTTTCAGATCCACCTGCAATCGGTGAACATCAGCAATCTAGAGAGACCTTCAAAATAGTTGTGGGTTCAAATCTGCACTCCGGCCTTCCTGTGGAGAGGCTTATCACACTTTGCCCCAAAACATGCACATGTGAATGCAAAAATATCAATATTTGGAAATAGGAGTGTAAAGTTGTTTTTCTTAATTAGGGGCACTAATATGGTGCACGCGGGTAGCTCACAAAGACCTATAGAGCAGCTCAAGGCACTTTTTTCATAAGAGCTCACCAATAGTGTGACATTGTGATTTCCTCGGAATGTTATCGAAATGATCAATTGAAAATGTGAACCACTGGCAAAGATTTATAGATGTAAAGTTCTGCATATTGATATGTATATGAGAAATAATGATCCGCTTCCTTATGTAAATCACCTCTTTCAAACTCAAAGCCTGGGGGCCAGATCTGGCCCGGCCACATCATTTTCTGTGGCCTGCAAAAGCAAATTATGTGCATCAACTTTATGCTTCTTGCTAAAATACCAAAATTGCAATTTACCTTCACTTTTAAAAATGTTGCGATATTGCAAGCATTCCTTTGTTACCAGTCCCATTTTTAAAATAAATATCCTATTATCTGAACATTTTCTATCGGCCCCTAATTCCAAAATTAGTTATTCATTAATTTCTTGTGTATATGGTATTTTGGGGGTTCATAGTCAGTCAGCGGCCTCCGAAGGAAACCAAAACAACAATGCCACCCCCTGACAAAAATTTGTTTTGACACCTCTGACGTAAATGAATGCATCAATTATTAATAATAGTGTTTCTCTGTGCATGAATGTGCCTTTAACAGGCAGGGCTTGATGGAGTGGAATGTGAGGTTGGTAAGTCTGTGTGATTGATCAACTCATCCTCATTGTCTTGATGAGTTTTACTGTTTTGTGAACATTCACTGCCATTTTTTGTCTCCATGATTTATTATTATGTATTTGTTTGCTCATTTTATAACTACATTTTGACTGCAAAAGTCACCTGGAGGTAAATAACGATATTAAATTCCTGGAATGCTAACAAGTGCAATTACTCGTGTACGGAATGCTCAAGACCGCCAAAGATAAGCAAGATATATATATTGTCCTATATTCAGACAAGTTATCAAAAAGCATACATAAAGAGTATCACTGGCACAGCATCTCACAGTTTGTACAGATTTATTTTATTTCTTTATTTTTCTTCAAAAAAAAAAATACTGCAACTTGATACAGCTTGCCGTTGGCAGAGCAGGAAATAATAGATGTGAGCAACTTAAATGACATGGAAGGTTGTAGTCATCGGACAGGTTTTGTACCCGCGGAAACCCAAGAGTAAACCGGCTTTGTTGTCGAGCAATGCACTCCACCCACTTCATTCACATTAAGCCTCTTTGAAACTGCAGCTTTTAACCTCTTCAGAATTTAGATGAGAAAGCCCGGATACTTATGAGAATTGATTTTAACACTGACATCTTTGTGATGCCTAAAGGTGTAAATCAATGAGGTTTTCTTTTTTCTCACAAGAAAAAGGATTGGGCCAGAATACCAGAATAGTGTATCCGCATTACCCACTCCAGCAAAGAAAATGGTTCATCAGAACTAATACAGTAGTTGCTTCTGCTGTATGTCTATGGGACAGGCATGACCAAGTGATTAAAGGGGAGGACACATTAAAAAAAATCTTTACAATATGTTATATGTGCCTCCATTAAAAAAAATCTTTACAATATGTTATATGTGCCTCCACTCATTCAAACACGGCATTCTGATTAATATTGTGTTAGTAGAATATGAATTAAACAGTAAAATCCACCTGTTTTTATTCACCTCAGTGGGCGGCCATTTCGCCACTTGATGTCAACTAAAAATGACATCACAGTTTCTCACAGCTCAGCGAATGACCAATCACGGCTCACCTGTTTTCGGGGTTTGGTCACGTGATTGTCCACAAGCTGAGCCCTAAGTCACTATGATGTCATTTTCCGTCGACAGCAAGTGGCCAAAGCTCATCCGCACCCCAAGTGAGCATTGGCAGAAAATGGGTGCATGGCATTTAAGTCTCAAAACGATGTTGCAAAATTATGTATCACAGCCTATAATAATGTACCATGCAGACATGCGTACTTGAGGTCCATTTTTGTTTATGGTCCCATCTTCGATTTTCTCATTTGCTTTTTTGCCCCACGTTACAGTGGCTGGAATTCATAGAGAAATGATCATTCTACATTGTACCAATAAACCCATCCTTCCATGCATCCATCCATTTTCTAATCCTTTTATCCTCACGAGGGTCGTGGGCGTGCTGCAGTCAATCCCTGCTGTCTCCGGGCAGTCGGCGGGGGTACACCCTGAACTGGTTGTCAGCCAATCGCGGAATACAAATCAACAACCTTTCACATTCACAATCACACCTAGGGACAATTTAGAGCATTACGGTAACCTGCCGTGCATGTTTTTGGAATGTGGGAGGAAACCGGAGTAACCGGAGAAAACCCTCGTAGGCGCGGGGAAAACGTTAAAACTCCACACAGGAAGGCCGATCAATCACACAGACTCACCGACGTCACATTCCACCCAATGAGGATGAGTCCTGTTGTCAAATATTTTTATACAACTGTGCAGGTCCAAAAAGAGAATTTGGCAGAAAAGTGGTTTTGTGTTCCTTTTGCAGGTTTATTTGAAAGAGGAAGCAGTTCTCTTTTTGGTCCACACTCGATCTGATGTGATGTCTGTCCTCCCTCTGCTTCACACTAGTAGTTCCTCTTCACTTGTCTCGAATATCTACTGAGTCATGAGTAACATGTCATTTGTCATTTTTGTGCATCCTTATGTTTTTTCTTTTGAAGTACCAAATCTTTTTATGTTCTTTTTAGCGCAGTCTGAACATCTTCAAACACTCAAACATACATACCGTATGTGATAAACAGCAATCAGTTGCCAAGTCTTCACACATAACCGTATATTATGTGGGTGAAGACATGAAAAGGCAGTTGTGGGGGCGGCGACTATCTTGTGGTCATTTTTTGTTTTATTGTCTGCATCGGAAGATTTGGACTTGTATGGTTCGTGTTGTTGTTGTTTTTTGTTTTATTTTTTTTACTGGCGTACTGTATCAGCAAATATGTCCACATCAGAAGTTAGAGATTGTGAATAACAGAGCACACAAGGCAGTGAGGAAGGCCTGGAGAGTTGCGTCCGTGGACATCCCAGTAGAGTTAGTACTCACTGCAAAAAAAAACAAAAAAAAAGACTCAGTTTCAAGAAAATGTTTCATTTTCATCTGACATAGCTGTTGCTTACACTCTCCAGCAATTGTGGCGACTGCCTAAGTATGATTTGAGATGGCTAGAGCTGATCTTGCGCGTATTTCCATCTCAGATGTGCGGGTGGGTAGGTGATACCAGGGTCAAGAAAGTAGAGGAACACAACACAGCAAACAAAATTGGCTACAGTGGACATCATGTAGTATTTTCTTCAAGGGAGAGGGTTGTAATTATATAACAATAAGAGAAGCTTTGTTTTTAGAAAAAGACATCTTTCGTGTTCGATTTGGGTTACAATGGGAACGAAACACTGAAAAAAAACTCATCAAATCCAGAGGTGCAGGGTTCGATTGCCGCCTTCCACAAGATAGTCGCCGCTCCCACAACTGCCTTTTCATGTCTTCACCCACATAATATACGGTTGTGTGTGAAGACTTGGCGACCGGTTGCTGTTTATCGCATATGGTATGTATGTGTGTTCGAAGCTGTTCAGACTGCGCTAAACAGAACATAAAAAAGATTTGGTATTCAAAAAAAAAAAAAAACAACATGATGAGGCACAAAAATGACAAATAACATGTTACTGTTGCAACACAAGAATGTTGGTTTGTGATTCAACTTCCCATGTATTGCAAAATTGAACATGAATTTGTAACACCCTTCTTACTCTTAGAATCGATAACATACAGTTGCCTCAAGCGCACTCTCTATGGGCCATTTTCTCAGCCAGAAAGAACAATGCAAAAATGTGGTCATTCCCTTTCAAAATCTGGCCTTGGGCATATTCTTCTGTTGACTTAAACACTTGTCCTCTTTCACGCTTCAGAGGATGGAGTAAGCCAAGCGCCCCGGGGAAAGTGAATCATCATATTGCACATGAACATGAAGCTACAATGTACAATATACATTGACATGAAAGCTAGGCTCTACAGTCAGAGCAATCCCATGCCTGACCGGTGCTTCAAGGCAAGATAATAAATGTCAGTAATCTGGAGCAGGAGTTCACAACCACCGTGGCCACACAGAGACTTTAAAAAACAGGTGCTGTGAATCGGCTATTACAGCATTTTAGCAGTGACATTTACTAGTAGATTTTATTGGCAGATATCATCGGGATTCACAGATTTTCTTTCACTGTTATGATATTCATGTACAATTGTGAGACTTATTCCGCTTCAAACATGTTCCCGGCCAACGTCAAAAGTCATCAGTTCACATCACTCACGGCTGAGCATCGTCTGGCAGACTTCTTTTTGAAAGTGAGAGACAGTTTCAGCCTTCACAGAGAGCGAGATTTGCTTCCGTTTACGAGACATGTTTTCAGATCATGCCCGTACCTCCGTGAGTGACGGCAGGAAAGTACAACAATGTACCGAGTTGATCAGAAGCGTTGCTAAGCAACGGAAGGGAATCCCACCGCTGTACAAGGTCACGGCGGCAGTTAGCTTCCCACGGTTCGTTGTAACGAACGCCTTTCAATATTTGATGATAAAAAAATCCCGACTTTGAAATGTGAACGTCATAGCAGTAGAAGCGTAAACGGCGTACGTTGAAACGAGGCTCGACTGTATACAGTAAATGAAGCTCAGAAAAATGTTGCTTTTTACTTTGATTTGTTCCTCCTTGATTATGAGTGTGATGGAAATCGTTTTAGAAATGTGTTCATTGTATTACATGAGAGCCTGACTGCGGATGGTATGATTAAGAAATTCAGACGAAATAGGTTCATCCCCATTGCTTGTGATATTTTTCTTTTTTTTTCCCCACAGCGGGGAACTCCTCCGTGTTACTCACAGTGGCCTTATCTTAGTTTGTTTTTCTAACTGACGCGGAGGAGTAAAATTTGCAACCGGTATGATGTAGATTCGCAATCATCACACTGAATGTGTTTACTTTGAAGGTTGCTGTCCTCTCTCATACTTTGACTGTCAGTTCCGTCAGTGGCATATGCGTCTCTTGAGAGCAAAGCGTCCTGTACGATACCAAGAGCTAAACACGGCCCTATCAGATTTGGATACAAACCTCAATGCCGTCAACTCTCAGCCTCGGTTAAAATAGAGCTGCAACCAGCTAATCACCAGCACCTCCTCCTCCTCCTCCTCCTCCTCCTTCTCCTCCTCCTCCACTTTATCCACCCCGCTCCACATCCTTTGTGGTCTCTTTCAGCAGAAATGCGCTTGCGTGCACCCAAAGCCTCCACTTGCAGTATTTTACAAGCAAGATTATGGAACAGCACATCTATTTGCTGCTGTGGCCGGGCTGCTCGCTGCTGCCGTCTGCAATAAAACTGTCAATTAAAAGGCTCGGTGAAAATGTAATGTTCTGGAAAAGACATTGAAATATATATATAGTTGTAAAAAATTGTTTACTCGCTTAATGAGCGGATTTTTGAGAAATGTTCTCAAAAATCTAGTTGAGAAACACACCGCACACATTTGTCAGTGATGTGTGAAGGAAAATAAAAAGAATCCCCTTCAGGGCCCAATAAAATGTTTTCTTTGTCCTTCACACGCGGCTTTAATGTTGATGCACGACGACACGCCGTCAGTTAACTTTAAACGCTGGAAAAGCTGCACTATTTAGTTTTCAGCAGATTGAAATTGGGTCTCTATGTCATATTACCGAAGGGCGAGATTCCCAGCAGGTCAAATTCTTGTTAATCCGTTAATCCCTTTAATGTGGAAACTGGATTCCCTCCTAATGGGTGTTAGTTACGGCTTAAGGGACCTCGTCACAAAAGAGCAACAGGCAGAAGCAGGAGCCCGTTGGTTGGTCCGGGGCATTCACAGAAACACAGGAGAGTTTTTTTTTTTTCCAAACAACTAATGATGATGACTTGATCTATGTGTTAACCCCTTCAGGGACAGCGGTTACTTACTGACAGCTCATCATGTTATCAGGTTACAGGGTGCATGAAAGGGTTAAATTCAAGAAACTGATCCGTTGCTGAATATCGTGAGTCCTCCTCGTCTATTCTCAGACTCCCAGACTGTGTGTGGCTCTTATAGCTATTATAAGATCACTTTTCCGGCTCGTGGGTTTCCCCCCCTTTCAATTAGGACGTAGGAAATACTATGGCGGATACCTCAATATAGTGATTACTCCATTAGGATTTGGGCCAGTTCCAATGCTCGTGGTTGGAAGAAAGCAGAGGAGATGTGTCCGTAATCACATATCACAAACACAGGTTTTTTTTTTTTCCAAACAACTAATGATGATGACTTGATCTATGTGTTAACCCCTTCAGGGACAGCGGTTACTTACTGACAGCTCATCATGTTATCAGGTTACAGGGTGCATGAAAGGGTTAAATTCAAGAAACTGATCCGTTGCTGAATATCGTGAGTCCTCCTCGTCTATTCTCAGACTCCCAGACTGTGTGTGGCTCTTATAGCTATTATAAGATCACTTTTCCGGCTCGTGGGTTTCCCCCCCTTTCAATTAGGACGTAGGAAATACTATGGCGGATACCTCAATATAGTGATTACTCCATTAGGATTTGGGCCAGTTCCAATGCTTGTGGTTGGAAGAAAGCAGAGATGTGTCTGTAATCACATATCACAAACACAAATTTGGCTGAGAGGTTTAGGCATGTAGTTTGGACTTTTTCTGACAATGTGGACTTTCAACTTTTCCAGCCATGAGAGGCTTAAATTACTGAGTGAGAACTGCCAGAACTGTTAAATACAATGTATGTGGATGTTCAAGGTTTAAAAAAAAAAGAGAGATGAAATGTTGCTCCACCCATTCCCTTGCAAACAAACCAGGCTTATTATCTTCCGCCATAAACTCACTAGTCCTCTTCTGTGCATGATGCGGAAATAAATCTCCAACATGTGTCAGCGTTTGGGCCTGTGCCACAGTGGCACTGCAGCTAATGACGGAGGAGGAAACTGGGAGCAGACAGAGGCCAAGAGATAATTCACTTGGAATGTCTCGGGGAGGGAGGAGTGGCACACAGGAAGTGGACGGGATTTGAATGTGGCCGAGGAGGACACACAGGCAAGCCGGGTCAGGGCCTCCGGCGCCAACTGTCACGCCTTCTGATTCACAAGGCCGCTTAAGTGGCACTATCATTGCTAGTTACGCTCAGAATTCCAGAGGAACATTCTTTGGTGTCCTCTTAGTTGTTGTGTGCCAGAGCATATACTGTACCTGTACATGTGAAGAATGCGTTTGGTCTAAGTTGTCAAAATGCCTGTGTTCAGATTTGCACAATGCCTTTGTTACCTCCCCCAAGGAGGTTGTTTATGTCCAAATTCCTGTCGACATTTTTTTGGATATACTAACTCAGATGTTTAATTGTATTTTTTTTATTTTTTTATTTTTTATTTTTTTTTTATGATTACGATTATACTAGCAGGGGTGCCGCCGAGTGAGCTGTCGCATCCATGCCGGATGATGCTGCTGGTAAATCCACACAGCGGGAAAGGACAGGCGCTCGTGCTCTACAACAACCACGTCCAGCGGATGCTCAACGAGGCCGGCGTGCTGCACACGCTGGTCGTCACCGGTGAGTCGCCGGAAGCACGAGAACACGCCACAAAGAAAAGTCAAGAACAACACTTTCCTTTGACAGTTGAGGTCCTTGCCGCAGCATGAACTTGGAAAAAAAAAAGCAAAGTAATTAAGAAGTAGATTGTTTTGCACCTAGGACAGTCTTTTTCCAAAATGGAATCAAGTCTATTTTTTCCCCCAAATTTTAGACACAGCATCCCATTACAAGTCAGTATATATGTGACATTTGAAGCTACTATTCCAAGTCAAATTGATGCATCCTGTGCCCCTAAATTACAGTTTTTGTTTTTCTTTTGTTCGATCGGTAGTTGAATCCAAGACAATACTTATTATGGCCTTCTTGTCAAAGAAATTGCACCACAATCTCGCTGATGTCATTCAAAGTTGGTAAACAAGCTCACTAACAGACGTGACTGGCCCCAGAACACCTCTAAAGGAAACCCTCATGTTTTCATGATGTCACTATGCTGCGAAACTGCCTCAGACCCACACGCACGCACAGCTCTTACGTAAGCCACCTACGTGCACAAAATACGTTCACATATTGTATGGAGATGATAAATACACACATTCTCGCAAAATCCCCTTTCAGCATGATTTGATTTTCTCATCGTCATGAGCTTCCATACATACGGGCTGGTGATGATTATCCAGCACACACGGATTTACGATTAACTCGTGTGACACGAATTTTACCCCTCAAAAAAACAAAAGATCATCTGTGTGGGTGAGGAGAAAGAGAGAGCGATAGACTTGAGATACTGTTGCTTGAAGTGTCTAGCAAACAAAAAGTGGACAAACTGATTATGGGATGCTTGGCTGTGTGGCAGCTTTGGCCACAACTGGAGGGGTGGAAGATACATGAGGCATGACTGCATTGCAAGAGAGTGTGTGTGTGTGTGTGTGTGTGTGTGTGTGTGTGTGTGTGTGTGTGTGTGTGTGTGCGTGTGCGCGCGCGCGCGCATGTGTGTGTGCATTTAAGCATGTCTTGGTCAATGTCAGCAGCGTCAGTAAGGATGGCAATGTTTCATCTCCCTTAGTGCTCAAGTACCCATGGATGTCTGTCAGACAGCAGCTGCACGCTTGTCCTCCTTTTGTGTTTGAGAAAAAAAAAAACATGTCACTGATCACGGAAAAGTCCACCATCGATCTCAGCTGTGTTTCCGTTGCTTGCATTTCAGGAAATATTCACAGATGACGTTAAAATAAGAGCTAGAAATCCATCCTTAGCCACCTGTTGGAGGAACCGAAAGCACCAAAGACTGACCGTCTTTTGTCGCATTGTGAAGACACACACACACACACACACACACACACGCACACACACACACACACACACACACAACTCAAATGTTTACAAGACTAAAAGTTCTGTGAGTACGTAATAGATTATGTTCATAAAAAGATTTCACTGCCTTGTTCTCAGAGCAGAGTTGTTTTAGGTTCTAAATTTCCTCCACTTGATGATCTATAAATGTTTCACCGTGTTCAAAACACGCCCTTGCCAGTTTCCAAATTGAGCGATGCGGAGAACCTTCTTTGTTGAACTTTTCAACGCTCAGACTTGGATTTAAAACAGGGAGTTTCCATCGGCGCCTCCATCCGTTGTTGCTACGATCTGGGAGATATTTCATATCTTGAGACTGGCAAAATATTTTCAATCCATAATTCCGAATGATGGGAATATCAACATGAACATGAGCGGTTAGGTGGTTGAAACATTGAAACGGTTGTCAGATCAGTTTTCCCCAGACAAAAAGAGCAAAAGACAGTTTGGGATGATAGTTTTTTTTTTTTTTTTTTTGCCAATCGTAATTATATCGAAGAATGTCTTTTGTGTGCAACTTCGGCATGCTCTGACTTGTACGACAACAACACAAGTGAGCGTCTGAATTAATACAAATGTAATTATACGTGCAACAGTCGTCTGTTGGCATCTGATTAAACTCTCAGGGCGGTTGGTGTGGTATTCACACACACGCACGCCGCTCTTACCGAGCCGGTGGAGCACTGCAGCGAAGAGACGGCTCCTTGCTGCAAGAGCTCACATTTATCCGGCGCCGCCTGCCTCTAATGAATGATGCACGATCAGCACATTAGCGTTGAAACTCTCGGGATGGCGACATTTCACATTCGTCAACGGTGACGTTAAATAGAATCCAACGAAGGCTTTCAGCATATGTCTGCCATCAATTTAATTTGACCTGAATTTGACTCATTCGTTATTCATTAAAAGTCAACCGTGCATCTCTTTCACAGCAAGTCTCCACTTTAGAGTTCGTGAGATAAATTCTCAGACTGGAGATAAATCATTTGGCTGAAAAGGACACTGTTTTTAACAAAGGCGAGCATGGAGCTCAAAATGCTGGACCCATACCAAATTTGAAAGGTTTCATAGCTCTTTGGCAGGGGTAACTAGGCCGAGGACTGCCGATTTTGGGAGCTTATTTCCTTCTTCCCAACTGTCCGCAGATCTATATTTCAACCCAACGAGACAGTCTTAGTCAGCCAAAACGTAGGCTAGTTAATAAGAACCAACAGCGAAAGATGGACTTTTAGGACACAAACTGGCAGGAGGGTGACATCACTAACCGTACTTGTTACTTGTGTGTTGACAGAACGTCAGAATCATGCCCGCGAGTTGGTGAGGGAGGCTGACCTGTCCCAGTGGGACGCTCTGGTCATCATGTCAGGAGACGGCCTTCTGTTTGAGGTAATAAAACGTGCGCTCCGGAGCGACTTCAACATGAAACATCTCAGGAGTAAAATAAAGAGAAGGGCAAAGGATAAACACATTCCAAACTACATCTTATGATCTCAAATTAAATATAATGCTAGCAAAAAAGTCCTTCGTTTTTATCTTCACTTAATACATGAGCTTTCAGGATTCATTTGAAATGTGTTTATTTGGTGTTGCCTTTCATTCACACGGAAGATGAAAGATCAAACCGTAGTTTACTTTATGAAACAACACTTGGTGACTTTTAAAATTTTTTTTAATTTTTTTTTATCTTACTCTCAACAAATAAGCCATCCGTCCATCCATCTATTTTCTAAGCCGCTTCTCCTAACAAGGGTCGCGTGGCGTGCTGGAGCCGATCCCAGCTGTCTTCAGGGAGTAGGCGGGGCACACCCTGTACTGGTTTGCTAGTCAATCACAGCAAATAAGCCGTATATTAAATAAGAAGTGATGAAATAAACACTACCGGTAATAAAAACTAGTAAACGTGCTCTTGCTAATTTTGATGATCCATTCCAACGATTATCCGAACAGTTTCATCCTCATGCCGGTCGCGACCATGACATAACGTAGCCCAGTCGTCGGCGTGGTACACCCGGAACTGGTGGCCAGTTCCAAGTCTAAATGAAATCCAAACTAAAATGAAAAATCCAAAACTATAACTCTGCTTTGGTGTGTTAGGTGATTAATGGTCTCCTGGACAGATCAGACTGGAAGGAGGCGATCCGAACACCTCTTGGTATACTTCCTGGCGGCTCAGGCAATGCCTTGGCTGCGTCCATACATCACTACGCAGGGTGAGTGGAACACACCGCAATATTCACATTCACTACTAAGGAGATGTTTACATAACAAGAATTGACAACAAAAAAAAAGGGGACTTGAACAACAATCAAGATGGCAGTGACAACAAAGCTGCGAAGGATCCAGGAGTCCTTCCAGGAACAGGAAAGTGCCTTGGACTTCAAAGTGTTTACGTCCGAGGCGGAAACTTGAAGTTTGGAGTTTGGATTTGAAATACTGTATACAGTATCCTTGTAATGCCAGTCCTGGATCTCGCAATGCCTATGCAGTACAAAGGGGCCCCGCTGGGGTCTTTTTTTCAAAGGTTCACATTTGATTGACTCTAACGCGCTGCTGCCCAGTTGCACCAGTTCTAAACATGCATTCCATCATAAAATATGTGGACTGGATTTATTTTTTAAAATGCAACGCAAAAACACACCTTTCTAGGTTACGCATGGTGGGTATTTCCCAAGTCCGGATGGGAGAATTGAAGCACCTTGAAAGTGTGCGAGGCACGGGGAAAAAAAAAATTACTTCGCCACAAATGACAGAATACGGCCCAAAGTGATTAGTACTCTCGCATGACTACCGTTCGAAAGAGACTCCAGTAAAACAAGTGTAACCAGCTTGGGAACGTGCTCATTAATGTCACGCAAAATTGAACTCTCACGTCGATGATAAAATGACAATGAAAAAGCTCAAACAAAAGAATGGCAAACCGAATGACATACTGCAAATAAGATGACAACTGATAGTTTTGCTCATGAATTTGAATTTGCGCGGGGGACGTTGGCTCTTTGTTTTAACACTCAAGCCAACAAAAATACGTTTATGTTAAAAGCTCATAGGGAGCTAGAGTGTTGTGGAGTTACAATATCGATTGGAATCATAAAATAAATTGCAATCGTTTCAAAAAAATAATAATATTATGGAATAAGAATTACAAGCACTGACGTTTAACATTTAATTGTTATAGGAAATCAACAGTGTGGTTGAAATTGGTTGTGACCTTTCATGCAGAAAATACAAGTGAATAAGAGCAGCACACAGCTCTAGAGATGTCCTGGAGTTGTGTGTGTGTGTGTGTGTGTGTGTGTGTGTGTGTGTCTGTTTGAGGAAGAGAGAGAGAGAGAGAGAGAGAGAGAGAGAGAGAGAGAGAGAGAGAGAGAGAGAGAGAGAGAGGGAGAGAGACATGATGACCTTCTACCCTTGTCTCCGTTTCCCCAAATGGGATTGTCTTTGTTGTCTCACTGGACTGTCATGTCTGAAATCACCACCGTACACACACACACACACACACACACACACACACACACACACACACACACACACACACAC